ACCCAAAACAAGGATTCCCTGGGATCACAGTCTAAGCATGTGAAAGTCTGTGGTCCTCCAGCTGAGTCCTTTACTCCTGTTGTGTCTCTATGTCTGGTCAACTGGCTGGGACCACAGGTCCCCATGCCCTTTGTTAGGCAAAGGGACAGTGCCAGATTACAGCCTCTTGCCTAGGGTTCCTGCCACCCAGAGCTCAACCTGCCTCTGGCACTGCAGCTGCACACAGACCTACCTGCCCTAAGTGCCTTCCTCAGCTTGGACAACAGGCTTTTCAGGCCTGGTGGGAGAGGATGTCGGACTTGGATGGGGCTTGAGTACTCTCAGACCTCATTCCAGTGTCCTCCTGAAGAAGCACATTTATGTGTTCCTCTTATGGGAGGGGAAACTCCATGTGCTACTGCTTCTTATCCCTCATCCTTCATTCTTGGGCTCTGTAAATAACTGTTTCCTGAAGGCTCCAAAGCTCCAAATATTAAGGCTGGTGGAAAATTGTTTTCTAAGACCCCAAAACTCTGCATCATTTATTAAGAACAAAACCAAGATGCTGTTTATTTTTTGAACATAAACACATAAACACATTAGCATTTTGGGCGCTATTTCCAGATTTTTTTCCGTGCAGACTGGGAATCCTTTCCTATTCTCATTTAAACAGATCATTTCTGCCCTCTATTATTATCTCAGTTGATCAGTTTTTCTCAGTATCAATGAAACTTTTCAGTGGGAAAATTTTAAATAGAGCATCTCAAGCTGGAAGGGATCCATAAGGATCACAAAGTCCAATCCCCTCCTCCTCATAGGACTACCTAAAAGTAAAACATATGACTAACATTTGTTTAAATACTTTGGTTAAAAACTTGTCTCTGAGGTCTCCCAGGAGTGTCCTGATCTTTTGGTTTGGTGATAAGATGAAGATTTTTCTCTGGTAACAAGTAGACAATTACTTTAGACTGAAGTAAGTGAGAGAGTTCAGTCCTTGAAATAGCAGCAAATATGAAGCTATTGATGCAGATCTAGCAGCTGCAAGTGCAAATAAGGGCTTTGGATGTTTAACCAATGGAATTTATTAAAAACAGATGAGAGAATGATTTAATTATCCGACGCCTTGATTAGCTGCTGTTTGGAAACTGCTCAAGGAGCTGAACAGAGTTTAAATAGGATAGTCATACTTTGGAAACGGACCACAGAAGATTAATTGGGGCAGGCATGGAAGGGAAGGCTCAGAGAGCTTCACATTTTTGGCCTCTGAGGTGGTGGAAGAAGAGGGCTTGTGGTGGTACACAAAAGCCATGCTGTGATGAAGACAAATTTTGTTCGTAAGACATTCACATTATGGAAAGGATAAAATACAAGGTCAAAACCAGGGTGTTGAAGGAGAATATCAAGTTATGAGAAGGGCTGTTTCCATCCAGAGACATGAGGCAGCCTGTGCAAATAGGGGTGCTTTAGCAATAGGATAAGTTACTGAAAGGATAACTGGGAATGGCACAGCCTTTAGTTCAATCTACTGAAGTTCGGGAGGTAAGCTAGAAACAAGGTGTAGCTCAGCTCTCTCTACCTCACAGTTTCTGTGAAGGGTTTGGCTCAGTCATTTGGCAAGTAGGCTGGCAGCTGAGTCCAGAGATGGTTCATGGCCCTTTCACTCACTCAGAAGTCAGCACAGAGGAGCTAATTGCTTCCTCTTCTGGTTCAGCTCCTTCACAAGATAAGCTGCAGTGATCTCCATGTACAGGGAAGCTGAGTGGTCTCCATGTACAGGGAAGCAGAGCAAGACTGCAGAAAAATATGGTTAAAAATTTAAACTTCATGGAATGAATAGATAAATGCATTTATTAACAGGAAGTGTACACCTTTATTAAGAAAGGTTAATAACCTATATACAAGTTGGGTATACAGCTTGGGTGGATGTATAATTTTAAGTATGTTTAGACATCTCTATGATCCAAGAACCGTAAGATTAGAGATGACCATCTGGAATTTCTTTCTTTACAATTTTTTTCTTCTTCTTCTTTAGGTAGTCTTAAAATAATTTGGACAATTATTGGACAAAATAAATTCTTCTTTTCTATGCAGTGATCAGGTAACCTTGATGACTACTGTGCATTCTGCATATGTGGAAAAGAAGTATAAGAATGAGAGTCCCAATAGCACTGAAGTACTAATTGTTACAGCCCAAGCAAGATGGGAGTCAACATTGTGACAATATTTGTGCAGGGAGAAAAATAAACTGATGTGACTAGGTTGTTTTGATTGGGGTATGAAGTATCTGTAGGTGCTTAAGGCATGAACTCAGCTGGGAATTAGACTGAAACAAATATAATATGGATTACTGTCTTAGGAAATAAACTACTTTCCCTGTCAATTCTGGTGCTAAGGTACGCTGAGATATCACAGTCTAAATCTAACCCAGTGGCACCTTCTATTAAAAATTACATTACAGGAAAGTTGCAACACAGGAATGTTTTATCAGAGTGAAAGCGAACATAACATGAAATGCAATGAGTGCAAGTATAATGTAAGGGTAGGAAAGAGTGAAAGGATGAGCAAGTTTCATACGGCTACTACTCCACTATTTATTTTGTGCAGCTGAAGAGCCTTTTGTTTGTGCTTGCAGATGACCCTTACAAAACAGAGACCTCAAGAAGAGTAAATCTTTCAACTGCCTACAAAGGCAACTATAGTATTTCATGATTTTTTTTCTAACCACAACCTATCTTCATCCCTTGCTGCCTAGCAGAGGTTATAGAGACAATTTAATTTTTCTGGCTATGTCTATACCTGTAAACAAAGCAGGGCTAGGGCAGGGGTTCCAATGTTGTCCTGTGATTATAATCCTGGGGGATGATTAGCATGCTCCCTGGTAACATTTTGGCTTGGGCCAACTAGCATTCTTCCACCTATGCCTAAGCACAGCTCAGGCACATGCCAGCAACCATTCCCTGTATATGTTTTGACTGCAGTCTCACAGTTTACGGGTGGTGAAGGAGTTTTGCTGTGCAGATGAGAACCACGTACTTTCACTTGGCCTCTGGTTCCAGTGAATGGTCTCAGCACTGATTTATTTAGCAGCATAAAGGTTGACTATGAATGAGATTCTGTCTTCCTGAATATCCTTCTTCCTCTTGCTGTAAAGGAAGCCCTTTAGGCTGTAAGGATAAGCAACTGTTGATGCTCTCCAGCATGGTGTTTCCTTAGTGACTCTTTTGTAAGGGCTTTGCATTCCACCCATCATGTGCCAAGAGGTGCTGAGAACTATGCCTCTGGAGATCCCTGTTAATACAAACAGGATTAAATATGGTCACACTCTAGTAGTGATGAGTTAGAGAGGACCTCCACTGCAAGCTTACAGTGAGAAAGAGTTGATGGTAGGTGCTTATCCAAGTAGAAGAAATGGGAACAAGAAAAAGTGATCTCTGCAATGTTATTGAGTCTGTTCGTGCACTGATTCCCCACTGCCACCTCATACAGAGGGAAAAAATCCCCAGTTACCTTTTCAGGGCAGTGCTCTTTGCTTTCCAAAGACGGGAATTATTACAGTGATATAAGGAGATTTACCTAGATAGTGATAAGAAAGAAAGGAGGGACATAGTGTTAATATTCCTTGCTTAAGTTCATGCAGACAGAAATCTTGCCTTTTCTCTGTATTTTACAGGCACTGTAAAAAATACTGTACTTGACTGAATCAGTCAAATAATAAACACCACAATGAGCAGAGCAGAAATATGTCAGATGGTGGTCTGGTCTCTTAAAACAAAAAGAAGGAATGAAATGCCCATCTTTCATAAAATATCTGTAAAATGGCTAAATAGATAGGAAACAATATATTGCAGAGGAAACCATCATGTATTGGCTGCAGAATAACCAGACACATGACTGCTCTTACATCTCCAACTTTTATTCAAAGATGTAAGATATGTTTTCCATAACATTTGCTTGTATTCATACACTGAGAAGTCTTTCTAGTAGTCTAGTTCTTATGGACATGTGCTAATGATATGAACGTGTGTTTCAATAGCGGGAAACCTTCAAGGACCACTTCATCTATTGTGCTACAGTCACAACAGTTTTGTTTCAAAATCCTAAAAGAGTGTAAGAAAGTAAATCCCAGTACCCTCTGATTAACTTGACCAGCATTTCTCTTGCCTACATGTTCACAGTCTTAAGTGGGAGTTTAAGAGGAGGGCAACCCAGTGGCTTAGTTGAGTGGCTCTGTGCGTGTGCTACAGATAGGATTTCCATTCCTTCTGTCTAGTTTCCTAGCTTGGCAAAGGCAAGCAGTGTTGGATCTCCTGGATGAGTGGAAAAGAGAGTATCTCGACTCTCAGCAGTGATCTCTCCAGTTAATGAGATAGTCCTGCTGAAAGGAACATTATAGTGCCTACCAAAGCTGAAATGAGGGTGGCTACAGGGAAAGGACCCAAGAAAGCGTAGTAAGTGTAAACAGAATGGAGATATGGAGGTTCTTCACTGCTGCAAACAGTTTTTTCTTTGTTAATCCTTTTTTCTTCATTAATACTGAAAAGTACCTCTCACGTTGTCTTTACACACAACTCTCTCTTAAAGGAATAAAATGAGGTATCACTGAAGGCATACTCTCTGTAACTATTTGTCACTTTTATGTTGCGGAAAAAGGCACAAATGTATACAGTCATTTCCGATAAGTTCTGCAGGCAGGAGGGGCTCTTTAATAGCATGGCAGTCACTTTTTCAACCTCTATCTGCGTGTGTATACGTGTCTGCATATTGCAGAGAGGACACAGAGAGCGAGCTGTGCAGCTGAATTTAGAAAGTTATAGATGTTCTCATCAGCCCCATGCAATGCAGCAGAGATTCCTTCCAAAAGCCAAGGGAGCAGAGGCTGCAGACAACAGATGTGAGAGGGTTTCCCATAACTGTCAATTTTCAAAGTGTTTGCATTGAAAAGAGAGGAGGTGCTATTTTGATTGATATTTCAGCCGCGGTATATAAAGCAGAGGAATTCTTCTTACCCTCTGCTTGTCATACTGATCTGCATACTCTCTCAGCTGGACTTGGGGCTACTACTTACTGCATCTGAAAGGCTGAAACTCACTGGGAATAAAGAATTCTTGTAACAATGCCGGAACCCACCAAGAAAGATGGTAAGCATAACAAACATTACCTGAATGTTTCTTAATTACAGCAATTATGGGTACACACACACACAAAACATCTTTTAGACCATCTTGCATATAACAGCCACAAATAATATCTAAGAACAATAGCTGTGTAACTTCATTATATCATTAGATATCACGGATACTTTTAAACTAAGAAATTACTTTCAGGTAGGGGTATAGCACAAAACTGTTTTAGGTAAGAAACAACGACTTTGAATGGATATTGAGAAACTACTTTATTGGGCAAATGCTGTGTTTTTTAAGGACTGCAGGATTTCCATAGTGCAACTTGTGGTTTCTCTATTCTAAGCTAACTAGACTCTGGAAAAGAGGGAATAAACATTTCTTATGGTTTAAAAAGCCAGGACATTGATATGTTTTTCATACAGCTCTTTATTAGTTATTGAATGGAAAGGATGTGTTACGGTTCTGATGAAAACACATTCTATACATGGAATACATAAGTGAAGAATGTAATAAGTTTTTCTGTACAGGTTGAACTGGAAAGATTCATTTTGCCACAATACAGAAATTATTATTTTATGTTTCAGAAGGGTAGCTAAAGGCACTAATATTGGCTGGTTTTTGTGATGCTATTAAGTTCATAGCAAAGAAACTGAGTATATAGTCTGCTAGTGAGTTACAGAATTGTACACTGGATGCTGCACAAAAAGGTGCAAAGTGGTTGGAGTCTATTAATTAATAACCTTTTGAAAGCTAGAATTTATTTTTCTACCATTTTGAAAATATAAACTAAATAAGCTTTTTCTATTTGCATTACTTCAATCACCCTTGCTTTATTTTTCTTTCAAGTTTAGATGTTTTGGTAAGAATTTTTGGTGACTTATTTTTAACACTGACTATCTAAATAGCTTTTGCGAAGCCATGAATGTACAGACTGTATATGCTTTGCAAATATTGGTAAGTGAAAGGTACAAAGACAGGTTCTCTAATGCATTCCCAAATGCAAAACTGAATTTTATCCTTAAGGTAATCTTGTGGAAAGAATAGAATAGACTTCATTTCCCATTAATTTTGAAAGATCTGCTAGGCCCATGTCTGTAGTTTGAGTAAGTTCATTGGATTTAACACTGATCTATCAATAACATTTGCTTGATTTTAAAAGTCTTTTTGAAATATTTTCTGGTTTTGTGAAAGGCAAGAGCAGAGCAACTGTCAGGAACATTACTCACCTTTCAGCACCTTCTTTGGTTCGGGACATATGAAAACTAAACTTTTTGCACGACTGAGTCTTAAGCAAGTAGTGTTGACAGACCAGTGTGATCACTTTACTTGCTGGCCCTCCTTAGTGCTCGAGGACAATGATAGATGAAGTATCCTTCTGAAAATAGCTACACCAAGTGCACGTATTAATACAAGAGCCTAATCCTCTATATCAAACCTAGAGCCAAGCCCCTTCTAGAGTGTCTTATTTGTAATTCAAATTATTTACACATGTATTAAGTGTCCTTTTTATTTGATCTGTTATTTGACTGGATATTACACACTTTAATCAGAATGCATTCTCTGGCTGCCAACTCAAATTAAAAAAAATCCACTAAAATATTTATGCACTTTTGAAAGATATGTGCTTTGAAGAAAATTAGTTTGGAGACTCATGTTTATTATTCTGTTTAAAATTAGATTGTTTCAAAGATGTTCTTACAATGCAGTGATTATAAAAAATGCAGCTCTGTGTTTGTGTTTGTGTTACAAAACTAAGTTTAGCAACTCTGAACAACATTGACAGTGGAATAAATGCAATTTTTGATGAGTCAGTATTCAGGACCCGAAAATACTGAATTATTCTCTCTTGATAGAGCTAGAATTCACAAGAAGTAATGAGCTATGGAGAAGTGATAAAATTGGCTTGTGTGCTGGTTGCTCCTTATTGCACCCAGTTTATTTGCAGCCAGTAGATCAGTGGAGTAACAGGTTTATATTATGGTACTTAAGAGATTAGTTGCTTCCTAAAGATTTTGTGTTGATCAGGAACTCACCTGAGCTGGTGGCAGTACTTGTACAGTAAGTATGGCAGGAGGATTTGCTTCCAATAATAATATAATACCACTGCTACTACTCATATTAGCTCTACTCATACTAGGTCTACCAGTAAGAATTCAAAACCTCACGTGTTCATCAAATGCTTGTTCTCAAGGTAATTTCCAAGGTGTGAAGGGTTGAAGGCAATTAATTAATGAAGGTGAACCTTGGACTAACTAATTCTGGAAAGTACCGCTGGAAGGACTCTCTGAGAAACCTTTAAAGAACTTGGAGGACTACAATAGAAAGCAGGGGAGGGGGAAAGAGGCTTAAGGCTTCTGCTTCACATGAGCACCAGAATAGTGTTCTTCTTACATTTCCAAGAGAAGCAATCTACTTAAATTATCCCATACCCTTTATTCACGTAGGTCCTGCCACTTAAAAACAGAACACACAAGAGCAAGCATCTGAGAAATCAGAAACTGCCTAACACTTGATGTTAAAAAAAAAATCTCAGCTTTGCATTTTTTTATCTCTGCATTCTGAAGTGCATAACTAAATTTTTCAGAAGCAGTGCTGTAGCAAGCTCCCAGGCCGTTTTTCAGGTCAAATGTTCTTTGAGCTATTTTAAGATTATTAGATTAACAAAGTGAGAAATTTCCTGACTTGGTGAGAGTGTAGCCTCACAAAGTGTTCTTAACAAATAGGATCACCAAATTAAACAAACCACTCAGCTTAGAGAAGGTTGCTGGAGAGCTTCAGCCTGATGGAATTTGTCACTGTAGAAACAGGCTTCCATGACTAATGATTTAAGGCCTCTATGGTACTCCTAAAAAGTTGAGTCCTGTACATAATATCAGCTGTGGCTTCTCTGCAGTAGATGGTCACGTTGTTGTAAAAGAGTTTTGTCTTATCTGGTTCAAAATATCCTATTTGCAAGGTGAAGTTTACATCAATGGGTTAACTGATCCCAGTGGATGACTAGGATACGACTATGGTGCCAAAAACTTTACTGGTGCATTTAAATTCAATGGCCTTTAGTTTTCCTGGTGACTAATAAAACAACCCTCCCCCATATAATTACTTCCTGTAATTTATTGCAATCGCTCAGTCAATCTTTCCTCTCCCCCCTTTCCTTTAACCAATATTCATAAGAGCTGCTCATTAATTAGGTGCCCTCTTAAGCTGTCACAGGCCACGGCATTTGGATATGCTTTTGTAAAAGTGCCAAGTCTCTCAAGAGCAACCTTTTCAAACTATTTGTAGGCATCATCCCACAGTGACAGGTGCAAGTCTGTCCCCAGTAGGCAGCTCTGTAAATTTGCCTTATTTATTCTTCCCAACCTAGGAAATAATTCATGGCCATGAGTTAAGCGACCATTCCAAATTTTGAGCCAAAGCATTTATTGACTGTCTGCCAACTTTATTTTGTAAGTGTTTTCAAGCTCTGCTTGAATACTGGCCTGGAGCATCCACATATTGGCAAGGAATGAAAATTAAAAGTCAGTTTGTCTTCTTTAGACAGAGTTTTAGTAAAACTTTATTCAATCTATAAACAGGATACATGCAAAACTTGTGAAGAAAACTATGTGAATATATTGTCTGTTAGAAGAACAAACTCTAAAACATGAGAAAATTTGTGAAAGGAGGTAAAGAGACATACCAATTGAGACTGCTTTGGAGATATGGTAACACTGTTCTCTCTGAAGATACGCTGTAGAAAAAGCCTTTATTTATGTTGGCTTTTAAACATGATGGATTTTACTTTGTTGTGTGATTTTTTTTTTCTATCACCAAATTTGAATTATATTTAAAATATTTTAAGCCATGCCACAGTCACAAATCACCTAGTCATATAAATCATACAGGTAGACACATAAAGCAGCATTCCAGTAGGTAATGAATCTAAGCATAAAGATTGATTAAGAGCTAATTGAAGTCAGATTCCTTTTAATATTATATTGTCAGGGCTAGACAATTTTTCAGAGGTGAAAAAGAAGTTGAATGGGAATTCAGTTTCCTATACAGAGTTGGCTTGTGTCAAAATTAACACTGCTGATGCAAAGTTTTCCTGAAAATTCAAGAACCCAGTGTGTGAAACTTTTATAAAATTGTTTAGTGCTTTCTATGCAGGAGACTGGACCTGTAAAATCATTTCAGATGGCACCACACTGGGTAGTGCAGCTGCTGCTCTCCTTGTTGTATAGTAAGGGAAAAGAACAGCATACAGACATCCACCTTCTGCCATCATCATTGCCCCTCTGCAGCACTGACTGTAAAATGCAGTCCCATTATTTCTAACTTCCTTCAGTCTCAGAGCCAAATCACACTCCAAGTCAGGCTCATACATATAATTTCCAAGCACCGTATCCAAGTCACAGGTAAATGAGTTTTGGTGGACGAGGGAAGGATGAAACCCTAACCCCTTAAATTATTTTCCCTCTCAATTCTTTAGAAAGTTTCAGTTCATCACCTCTAGCTAATAAATTAAAATCCCTCCACAAATGGAAAGCAAACTTACGCCTAACTGTTGTAATTAGATCTGTGAGGGTGGGCTGTGCTCCCGTCCTGAGCCCCACGGAGCAGCGTCCTCCTGCACAGATCGTGTTGCACTCTGGGAACTGAGTTGTTCTTAGACTGCCTTTGCCCTCCCATTGCTAACTTCTAAGTGTTGCTCCCACACTTCCTTCTAAGATACCAGAGCATCTCAAATTTACTCTTTGACCTTCCGCCCCCATCGTTGCTAAGATTAAGACTACTTTTTCAATCAAATTAATTTGATTAAAACCCCCCTACACTGGCAAAGAAAAATCCCCTTGATTTATTTTTAAGCTTTTATGGTTTGTTTTGTTTCATTATGGTGTAAATCAAGGGCACTACATTGATTTGTTTTCTCATTCAATGTGTTGACTTTATTTCAATATTCGCGTAGGAGGATAATGCAAGATTGACCTGTCTTACTTAATGTTGTTCTTACTTGAAAAGCTTGTCCAGACTGT